TTTCTTTCACAAAGACCAATATATGCATATTTGACAAAGTAGCATGAAAAAGAAAGCAAAAGCTCTTCAGCTAATACACAAATAAATGAGAGAAAAGTCTAAAAGATCTATGTACTTGGAAATTCACATTTTCTCTTAGCCTATAGTGCACAGAAATTTTAGAATTAAACTCTGCTCACTAAAATGCAGAAAGTATTATACTTCACACATATTCCATCTGCAGTTTGTTTTGACAAGTTTGCAAAACACTGAATGATGTGATGCAATGAATGAATGGTAGATTGCAGAAATTCAGTTTGAAGTTAGATGCAAAATTTTGAGTTTTGCTCATCCACACTCATCCCTTTTACCTAGAGCTACTGCAATAAAATGGGGGCTTGAAGTTGTAAAGAATTAGTATAGAACTTCAAACACTAATGTTGTTCATGTAGTTATCTTTTCTTGTAGCAGCTGTTTTGCTGCTTTGATTTAATACTAGTCTTTATGGATAAATAAATTCAAATTTTATCCAAAAGGAAAAAAAAAAAAAAAGAATGATAAATTGTCAAACCAGCTTCTTTCATGATGCAAATATTGAAGGCCAGATGGTTGTTGTAACTCCTATGGTTTCTTCATACATTTTGTTTTTTCATTGTGACGCATTCCTCCATACATTTTTGCACCATGCACTTTTGAATGCCTTTTGTGTCATCAGAAATACAATCAATTGTTGTTTCTTTGCAAATTTGTTTCTTCTTTTGAAATACTTGTCCCCAAAGAGCTATCCTGTTTTTAGTTCATCAATTTTTCTTTTGAGTTTATTGTGACTTAATAGTAGGATTGTAATTAGTATTATCCTTTTGATGTTACTTTCATTCACATTCGGTTTCCTTGCAATCTCTTCTTTAATGTTTCTCATTTTCATTTTTTTGCCCATATAGTGGGTTACAAGATTTTCACTCACGAAATTCACTCGAGTTCGAGTTATGCTGCTAGGATAGACAATTTCAGAAGTTACGATGCCATTAGCAAGGACATAATTCAGAGGTGGACATACCCCTATTTGCCTGATGTAAAGTTTTGTGGAAACCCTGCAACAAAGCTTGAGAGACAGGGAATGTATTGAGCAACAGGCAAATATAGAAAGAATCTGAGGTAATATATTTGGCTGCAGTTAATAGTTCTTTGTTCTCTTCCAATTTTTAAGTTATATAATTTGGGCATTTGGCTATGAAGGTGCAAATGACAAATTATAATTTTTTTCATCTTGATTTGGCTCTCCATTTTTCCCTGAACAGATTGATGTATCTTTGTTAGACATAATTTGTATCTACAAAGCCTTTTTGTACATGTATTTGCCTGTTTTGTTCATGTCAGCTGTGTCAGTGCAACATAAACTGATATTATTACAAAATATGGTTTGAATACAGTGGCAAAATTTTGGGCACTTCTACTTTGGAAGTATGAAGCTGATAAATATAATGGATCTTGTATGCTAGAGCCACATAAATTATGTTTTCCAATTTGAGGCTTTTGCATGGGCATGGGATCCTTCCTATCTCCTTGCAAATACAAACTCTGGAGCAGACATGGAATGTGAACCGTCACAGCTTTTTAAATGGTTGATCTGGAAATTTTCAAGGGACTGTTGATAGCTGGTGGCGTCAACATCCTTTGCTTCCATAATCTACTAAACTCTTCATCTCATATTCTTTCAAAGCAAAATTTCCTTGTGGACATGCAACAAGTTTCTCATGCATTTTTTATTCTGGATTACCAATACATTCCAATACCATGTCCAATTTAGAATATGAGTCCCATTACTCAAATTCAGCTTTCCCTGAGTTATGCTAGACACCTTAACCAATCAATGGTAATTCCCCTGTCCAGATAGCTTAGGTGGAATTGTACTAATCTTTGATCTACTGCTTGCCCTTTTGGTTTTGGAGCTTTTACCATGGTGTTGATATGTTTCTATGTGGTTTGAAACAGAGAAATAACATGCAATTTTTCACTCAGTGTTGAAAAGATCTGGGGAAATATAGGCATTTCCTTTAGTCATACCGATAAAGATGAGAAGGAAAGGGAGTTTTTGCATGAAAAGAGTTCTGCAATCGCACCATCTCTATAAAGTTTGAATTCTGAAATATGTATTGACTAGTTTAAGAAATGATTACAACCTCAATGAATGAATGGGAAAATGAACCTGTTTGTGTGTGTAAAATGCTAGTGTTTTGTTTCTTCACTGAATTTACTGCTTGTTGCATTGTTGCAGCATTCCTTATATATACAAGGCATTCCTTAGATAAACTTGTATTTGGACACTGTTGATCTTTTGATGCCTATTTTCTAATTCAATTTCTGCAAGAATTTTCCTGTTGAGATTTAAATAACCCCCTTTTTTTTAACTTTTATTTTTTCAGAAATAGCATTGTCATGGTCTGCTCAAATAGGTCCTTTCAGTGGGATTAGACATAGCACCAAAATAGGTAGCAATGGAAAATTTTGGAATTTGGTCATGGGTGAAGGTGAAATATTTCATCAGATGTTTCAATAGAAGGTTCCTAATATTCAAAAGTTTCCTTGCTTCCACAACCAACTAAGCAAGATAGTGATGAGGAATTAGAATATGCTGACAGTAGTAGTGGGGCTGTGGAACTTTCATGTAAGTTCTAGGGTATATCCTCCTTTTCATTTTCGTGGCATTTACACTCTTTACATTCATGAGATGTATCAACTTGTTCTTCCATTTGAATTGTTGTCTAGCCTACACAGAGTCACAGACATAAACGAGTGGTTTGCTGCTTTTTTTTTTTTGGCAAGCAACTGGTTTACCTTTTTTCTTTTTGGTTAGCAACTGGTTTACTTTTTTTCTTTTTGGTTAGCAGCTGGTTTACTTTTTAGATATATCATAGATTGGTAATCTGTCAGTGCATTTCAACCCACCTATAGGTATGCTGCTGCTGGATTTTTATCAGATACTAGTTCATATGGAATCTAAATGACAAAATTTTTGTTCTTTTTCTTGGATATTTTTCTATTTTATAGATAACTATCCAAAATCTCTAAATTGAGAGAATATTGGTTGGTTGAACATTTGTTTATGCATCTATTACAGGTACAGTGGATAAGTTGAATAGGGAAATTGCTTCAGAATTATCTGGGACACAATGTGGACCTTCATCTGAGGTTAGCTACCCAATGTGGGTTACTTAGTGATTTATGTAGCTGGTGTATGGATGGAAACTGTTAGTTTCAAAAATGAAAATTATAGCCAGATTTATGTTATTATTTTTTTCTTGATGGTAATGATATGGTATGTAATTATGAATGTGATCCTATCTCTCTTATTTATTTTTGTTTCTCCCTCTCCCTCCTTTTTTCTCTATTTGTTACTTAATTGGTATTTTCCTGGTTTGTCAGTTTGGCACTGGTGGAGTTGGTTATGTTTGGTCTGTATACAAATATTTCCCTGGTTCATCAGCTTGCCACTGGTGGAGTTGGTTATATTTGGTCTGTATACAAAGGAGGGCATGAAGAGGAACTGAGACATTCAGTTGCACCTGTTCCTCCTGATGAGCTTTTGAAGCTCATCCAAGACTTAGATGATGATGATAATGAAGAACTGGAATCTGATTCCAACAGTACAGTGTCTGAAAATGATGATGTGAGTGGATACTCATACTCTGCAGACAACTATACTTGTTTTGAGAGAGAGGTGAGTTCCATGTTGACTGAATACAGCTTATAGTGCATATTCAAAAACATTTCTAATTCCACTTTGGTGGTTGCAGGTTGAAGAAACCTTTTTAAGAGCTGTCTGTGGAAATCTCAGAGCAGATTGATGCATTTTTTTTTCTCTTAAACTGAGGGAAATTGGGGGAGGGGGAATGAGGATACAATGGAGTTGAACCCCAGTGGTGTGGGTGGAGCACCCACACAGTGACCACACAAGCGATAGGCCAAGGTTCACAAGTGATGCATTGTTAGAGGTGAAATCACTAAGGTAAGTTATAATGCTTATTTTAATATCAGTTCTTCCAAAAATAAATTTGTAATTAATTTATTTAGAAAATACAAATGTAGACTTTAATTTAATTAATTTACCAAATAAACTTGTCCACATGGTAATAATGTTAAAATAAAGGTCAACTTTTTATTTTTTTATGTAAATTAATTACAAAATAGTACATTTATTGCACCCTTAACCTGTACAGACAAGCCCTTTTAATTTAGTTTCCTTCCATTGCCAGCCAATGGGGAAACATGTAAGACTATTAACTTTAAAATATTTTTAAGTGTCATTAGTTTAGCTAATTGTTTTCCTTCCGCTGCCTTTGGTGGGTCCATGTAGTTATTTTGGTATTTTGCCCCACCCCCGCCCTGCCTCCCACGCACACACACAAACACCAAAGAAAAGTCATTTGCTTTGAAATTACAAATTTCAATGTGAATAACCCTATGTTTGGCCCACTGTTGGGCACTCTCAATGAGGAAGGACCACCAAAACTCCATTCCCGCTGAAGTGTATAATTTTCTTCTTTTTTTAATATTTGATGATCTAAATAATACTTGGTAAATAGTAATTTTCTTAATTAATAACTTAAGGGTACAAAGTCATTTGACATATTTCTGTATTCTCTTCAAAATTGTTGGGCTGAATTGGCAAAGAGAAAATGTTGAGGGGTTTGATGGATTGTTTTATGAACATCAGAGAGCCAAAAATATTGTTTTTTCACTTTATAAGTTGAAATTCAAAATTAGTGCCCGTTGTAATTTGCTTATCATTTTTCTTTTTCTTTTTATTTTTTGATAATATGTTTTCAGTAAAGAAAGCCTAAAAATCCACCCATGTAAAAGACTCATGTTTTAATTCTTTAATGATTTTGATTTCATTTTTACATCAGAGTTTTGAAGGTTCCTAGTAGCCTTTTCTGTTATTCCTAAGTGGTATATATGGAAACCTAAAATCTCAAGTTTCTGTGTAGAAAAGAGATATGATACATATCAGATGAGAGCATTTCTATTGGGCATCGAAGTGACTGCTATATGTAGCAGTTAGAAATTGAAGAAGAGTATGCTATTTACTATTACAAATTTCGTTTTTGCTAATGTGATATACTGATGACTTTCATTGTTCTATGTGCCTCTAATCTTCGTGTGAAGTATCTGAGTTGTATTTTATCTGAATCCGGCCTTATTATCACTTTTAGCCTTGTCTTACCCCTTTCTAATGCCACAATTGTATGGCAGGTTAGCTGTACTTATGATTTTGGCATGTAAGATACTAGGCCTTCTTTGTCCCTTATTGCCCATGACTATTTTGGCATAGAAGATACTAGGCCTTCTTTGTCCCTTATTGTCCCTTATGTTTACAATTATAAATTTTATCTTAGGCTTGTCTTTTCTAACTGAGTTGTTTTCTGTATTTGTATCCAATTGATCTTTCTCATTAGTAATATTTTACCTTATTTCTTTCTTGCATACTTCATGCTTCTAGGTTGTCATATAATATGGCCTCTATGGATTATGCTGGTGCACTTTTTTAATCGATGATGAAATTGGCATTACAATATCCACATAATTCTGATAGTAAGCATGCTCTCTAAACCATTCTTTCTTTCAATTCCAATTTATTCTTTATGTGGTCATTTGTGCCCTGGTATAGGGACATCCTAGGTATGTTGATTGCCACATCTTCTACGAATAAAAAATTAAGATTAGACATATAGATTTTAGGTGAAAAAAGAGTGTGTATTACCATATAGGGACAGTCTCTGATGGTTTGTGATATTTTTCCTGTATTTTTGCTGCTTGGTTCAACTGTTTGAATAATGTACCTGCTCAAAATGCATCCTTACTGTTTTAGAACAATGTGCTTTACCATATCTTTTATTTACTATGTTTATTCTTTTTATTTCCATTAAAATTGTATTGGTTAGAGTTTAAAAGTCTAACTAATTTTCTTGGAAATTTGAGCAGGTTAGAAACCAATTTGAAATCAAAGTTTTTTAAAATGGCACTCGATGGAGGTTAATTAACTTTTCCATGAAAAAGGGTTTATATGTTACCTTTGTGTGGTTGAGACTTGAGGGGCTTAAATGCTTCCCTAGTTGGTTGAGGGGCTTAAATGTGATAACCTAGCAAGTTCATGGGCCTAATTACACACACACTCGTGGGTACGTATGTATGTATTTAGTGTTCTTCATGTTTGACATTTGATGCAACTAATACTTCTTCCATCTATCTCTTAGGTGAATTGTGTGGAAATGTTGCTAACGTCATCAAATTGTGGAAAGACCTTTTGAAGCCCTTTATTTGCATATAGTTGATGGGGTTTGTATTTTTTGTATTGATGAATGACTGTGTTCATTATTTTTGAGACCATAATCTGAACAAAGGAAATTTGTTGATAACCTCTCAGATAAAATCTACAGTTCTTTAATATAATAATAATAATAATAATTTTCATTCTTATTGTCAATTATTTTATTCTGAAGCCTCTACTGAAATTTTCTGGTTTGAAAATTTATTGTGGTGTGTGTGTGTCTGTGTGTCTGTGTGTGAATCATATGTTGATCTAAATAATACTTATCATACTATATTTTGGTTATGTTTTTGGAAGATTACTGTTACAGACAGGCACACTGATTATTATATGACCCACCACTGCATGCATTTGTACAACCTATTTTTGGCATATTTTATCAATGTCAAGATGTTCTTTTATCCTGTGTGATTTATGCTCTTGTTTTTCTGTTATTTATTCTACTCTTAACTTGCATTATTAATTTTCAAAATTTGGTTTGTCAATTGTCATGTACTCTCTCTTAAATGCACTTTGGATGCATCTAACATTTGCCACATTTTTTTATTATTGCATGGTTATAATATATGGTAAGTTTGTTGATATGATTGTTAGTTTGTTATCTTTAAAAACTTGTTAAAATAATCTAAAGGATGACATGAATTTAGCCGGTTTCTTTAAAGTTTGTGCTAATTTTTGTGGTGTTATACTTTACAGATTGAAGTGATTCTAAAATTTGAAGAATTGTGTCTGGAATCCACTACGGAGTTATCTTCATTGTTTGGATGGTATGTTGTCTAATTATTTTTCTTGTGAAAGGCTGTCATATGTTCAGCTCTAAGATATGAGGGCTGGCATACTAGATCTAGATGGCATTGTATGAGAGTTATGTTGCCATAGATATCCTGATAAAATTCCTTGTAGTAAGATTTTATCAATTCTCTTCTGATGCTGCATTGTTTAGATAGCATTTCACCCATTTCTTTACACATTCCATATATTAAACAATATTTTACATTTTTTTTTTTTTGTTATTTTTCTGGTTCCCATCTTATGTACCTTGATGCCTTGAAAGTTTGCAATGGTGATAAATGGCATTATGTTGCATTCTGACAATTTAATTGTCTTATAGATTTTGCGTCTTTTCCATGACAATGGCATCCTAGAACAAGATACAATTTTCAAGTGTGCTGAGAAAAAGAAAGAGGCTGATGAATCAGATCGAGTTTTGTTAAGCAGTCAGCCGAATTCCTGGAAGTAAGAGCTGAACTTAATCTTTTTAATTTCTTTTTGTTTATTTCAATATGCAATCATGCAAAGACCCTAAAATTGAATTTGTTGTGTGAGTTTTTTGCTCAACCTCACCACTAAGCTTTATTATCACATATAGAAATGAACATTGATTACCAGCTGAAAAAAAAAAAAAATTGACAAACAATGAATGATACACTACCTTTTTATGCACTTATTTTGACCAGAGAACTGATCTTACTCGGACATATTTGAGTTTTTAAGTTAGTTCTTATTTTGAAAGGTTTCTGGTCATCGTGTAGATTTGCTTAACAGATGCATGTCTTGGTTGCAGTTGCTGAGAGAAGCGTCAATGTCTGAAGAGGTGACAAAAACTTCAGTGTAACAGGGATACCACATCATAAGATCATTTGCGATATCTCTAATCAATAGAAAACTGACATTTTAACAAATTTAGAGACACCTCAACATAAAGCCTGTGTGGTAGGGGGAACATTTGATGTGGCATGAGAAACCCATCTGCCATAGGATGAGAAAGCTGACAAAAACTTAATGTGTACGTTCTCTATTAGTTGGGGATACCACGGCATGGTATATCCCTTACTATGAAGATGTACATTGGCAGCAATTTTTCAGGAGCTTTTGGGAATCAGCAGTTCACTTTTTAACGTATCCAATTTTGCTCTTTAGTCTCGGAAGGAAATCAAATTACTTACCAATGTTATGTATGATAGAACTTGGAAAAATATTTCCATATCCACATTGGCTGCTGTTT